TATTAGTATTAATATTATGGGGGGGGAATGAACTGGGGAAAAAGCTGTGACTGTTCGATATTGATCAACACGGAGAGGAAAGTGTATCCAAGTGCTGATTTTTGTCCGACATTGGACAGAAAACAGGAAAACAAACAAACAAACCAGCGAAACAAATCACTGCAGCGAATGGTTTTAGGACTGGCACGGGATAAACGCAATTACGGGCTCTGCGGTGGCGACGGTCCCTGCTTCTTATCAGAGTTTGGCAGTCACCTGGGGGATGGTGAGGGAAGAAGCCCGGGAACGTTTGGGTGTATTCCGGGGGAAATAGTTGTCCGGGATTTAATTTAAAAACACGTTTTTGCGGTTTCCCGTGTGCGTAGCAAAAGTCGGGCCGGGTCGGGCTAACCCGAAAGCCGGGGAAGGCGCTGGGACCGGCATCCCCTTGTAGACCCCACCCCCCCCTGGAAGGACCCTCACCCCCCTTTTTTCTGGGTCTTCGGAGAGCTTCCCTTTGAGGAAATAAATAGGTTGCGTTTAAAAAGAGAGAGTGGAATAATGGGGTGACCGGTAGTGAATTTAGTGTTGATTTTGTGTAATGTGAATTTAGTTTAAGGAGTAAACCAAATGTCACGGTGAGCACCTTAATTATTAAAATGCCTCCGTGTGATCATAACACGGTATTTGACAAGCTGATTTCTAAGAGGGATTTATTTTTCGTGTTCAGTATCTAGAAGAAGAGTAAGAGAAGAAATTTAACTTTTTCTGCTGAAGCTGTCTTCTCCCTCCCCTTTCTGAATTTGTGAACACTCTCCTCGTGGGATTTTTTTAATTGCATGATATTCACTTAAACAGCTTCGCGGTCCAGTTTATTTAAAAAAAAAAAAAAAAAGTGAAAAGGGTTCAGAAACATGATCTGCAAACACTGACAAGCATTTGAGCCAGGTACTACAGCATGTACAAAATTTAGCAGCGTCTTAAGAGCAGCCTGTGTGTCACTTTCTGTGTCAAGCTGGGGAGCCAGGGTGGTTTGTCATATGCCTCGGGAGTGATCTGAAACACAGCCAAATTGCGAAGCTTTTCAAGTCAGCTGTACACTTTTTAATTATTCCTTAGATTGCAAAATTATTAGTGAAATGCAAAATGAATCTAGAGACAAGTCAGCAATATGCCATCTTGGGCACATGTGCCTAACCTGGTTTAGGTCATAAGGCGAGTACAAAAGGTAGGAGATTTTCTGACTTGTATTGGCTGCAGATGCTGCAGTTGTGTTGGTTTGTTTTGTTTTGTTTTCTAATTGGCAAATGTCATAAAAGCTAAGCTAAAAAAAAAGTATTCTCAAAAAGTATTTTCTGGTTTTCAGCAAGTATTAAAAAAAAAAAAAGTTGTTAAGCAGCGGTAAAACTTGCTTTCAAACAGGGAGATAGCAAGAAAAATGCCCAGTTATCAAAACCACAAAAATTATCAGACTCACTTCTTCAGCCAGCTGTCAGAAAAAAAATTAAAAATAAAAAAATAAAGATAGGGTTGATTTGCTGTTCTTGGTGCAGAAATCCTGGAGCAGGGCTGGGCTTGGCTCATCTCTTGCACCACTGTCCTTTTGTGAATCTCCTGCTTTTGCGTAGATGTTTGTCTTGTGCTTTGTTTGAATTACTCCTCTAGTTTTGCAGCTACCAAGACAGCTGTTTTGTGTGCTCCAGACCCCTGTGATGTGACTCCTGAAGTGATCTGCTGTGTGTCTGTCTCTGAATCCTTTGTGCCATGTTTGCCTACAGGCTGTCCTTTTGAAATCACTGAGCATAAATTTAACTTCCCAGGACATCTGCTGAAGTCCTGTGAATATAACTTTGGCCAGGAAGAGATTTCCAGAGCCACTTGCAAAAGGATCCCCTGGTTTGAGGGTATCACCTGGTGGGACTCTCCCTTCAGATACTCCCTCTGCTTCCCGCCCCAGCCCTCAACCGCAGCACGTCTCTCCAGAGCACCCGGGTCTCCCTGCTTTTGTGATAACCGGCCTTTCCCTTCCTTGCAGGACACCTGAGCCCCACTGCCTGCACCCTGAGGAAGCACAAGACGAATAGGAAGCCCCGCACCCCATTCACAACTTCCCAGCTGCTAGCTCTGGAGCGCAAGTTCCGCCAGAAGCAGTATCTCTCCATCGCCGAGAGAGCCGAGTTCTCCAGCTCCCTCAACCTCACAGAGACCCAGGTCAAAATCTGGTTCCAGAATCGGAGGGCCAAGGCCAAGAGACTGCAGGAGGCTGAGCTAGAGAAGCTAAAAATGGCAGCGAAGCCCATGTTGCCATCAGGGTTCAGCCTCCCTTTCCCTATCAACTCTCCCATCCAGGCTGCCTCATTGTATGGAACATCCTACCCTTTTCACAGACCTGTGCTTCCTATCCCACCCGTTGGACTCTATGCTACTCCCGTTGGATACAGCATGTACCACTTATCCTAAGAAGATCAGAAAGACAAAGCGACAGTGAGACAGACTTCCTGGTGGATCATGTCCAACCCGGAGAAGGCAGTATCCCAACCAGTACTGGCCGTTCTTTCTGCACGCTTCTGTCTGCCATCCTGAGTGTACAGGAGTTTGCGTTAGCAAAGCAAGGCATCCTGTATGCTGCGGGTTGGGTGTCTTCTAAGAGTGCTTTGAGTGCTCAGAGTCTGACCCTCAAAGAAAAAAAAAAAAGTGAAAACAAGCAAACAAAAAAAAGAAAAAAATTTGAGCAAATGTAGGGTTTTTATACAGTGCACATAAAACAAGAATAAAAAGGAACAGGTGAAAAAGCAATCTCATGGGGGCAGAGATTTCTTGATGCCTTCCTGATGGGGCCCAACACATGTTTAAAGTAAGAGGGGTACATGCCCTAAACCCCTGCCCTCAAATGTCATCTCTTAATATGGGGGCGGGGGGGGGGAAATAAAAAGGTATAATCAAGGTTTTGTTGTTTGTTTGGTTTTGTGTTTATTTTTTTTTTTAAAGAAAGCAGAGCCCTTAGCTAGAGACACCATGTAAATAGAAACTAGACCAAATAGAGTCCGAGTGAAGTTCAGAGCCAGCAAGTTCCTGCATTTGTGAGGCTAGGGAAAATTTTTGCATCCCAAACCTCGACAGATCTTTGCAACAAGATGAGCATCGGGGTCCCTAAATGTAGAGTAACAGCTTTCTCCACTGTTGGCTCCTGTAATGCCTTTATCTGTATACATAGCTTCAGCGTTTGTTAAGCACTGTGAGGGGAGGTAAAGTGCAAGGGAGGGTTATTAGGCAGTCTGGTCTTTATCTCTTCCTATTGGCATGCCTAGAAATTTTTGGCTACAGCCAGGTAATCTTGGCTCTGCAATGCTCTTTGAAAACCAGGAGAGAGGGAAGGAAGCTTTCTGGGGAAAGAAGACATGGGTTGTTTCCACAGTGGTGGTTGAGCAAATGATTGTTGAACACTTTTGGGAGATGCTTGGGGGTTTTTATCAGTATTTGCAACAGTCTGTATTAAATAGAACCCCCCGAGTCTTCCTCTCCTTCCCTTGCTAAGGATGCCAATATAAGTGACTCATGCATCAAGCCCTTCTTAAGAGAGATCCAGGTATCACAAACAACCAACCCTACTAGTAGGACGGTGGGGTGCCAAGAGACTGCGTAACATGTCCGTCCCCGCGGGAGCTCCCCGAGCGCTGGCAGAATGTTCCCCAGGCTTCTCCTTATAACTATTGTATTATGTGTATTACTCTTGCTAAACTTTGTGAGAAAGTTAAACTAAAGGCTGCGGAGCATTGAAGGCAGAGCTTCTCCTGGATTTATTTTCTTAGCATGTTGTTGTGGAAGAAAGAAACAAACAAACAAAAAAAAAAGCAGAAAAAAACGAAAAGAAAAGGAAAAAAAAAAAGCCACGAGGTTTTGCTGGTTTTGGTTTGTTTTGACCCAGGCACTGTCACTGCCTGGGACCCACTATAGATGAACTTCCCTTCACCCCCAATCTTCCATTATAGGAAAGTCCCTTTGAAAGGGATGCCTTGTACAATTTTATATATTTTATTGAAGATTTATTATTTCTTATCTCTTATTTCGAATTAAATTAAAAAAGAAAAAACATGTTTAATGGCGTGTGGGTCTGTGAGTATTTGGAGTTCTTTAAAAGGTAACTTCTCTCTGTGTGTGTTTTGCACTGCTGGGTCAAGTTCAAAGGAATGTTTGTATTGCCTTTATGATTATTTCCCCTTTCTGAATCTGAATTAAAGCCAAATTTGCAGCACATGAAGGTGAATTGCAAGTCAACAATTCAAAGTCGAAAGCCAAACCTTTTATGAGGTTTCCTTGTTTTTAACAACCACTTTTAGGCGCCTCTGTTCTTTGCAACATCATACTCTGGTGATGTTTCTATCGCTTTTCTTAGCTCGTGCCTTTCTCTTTTCTTAGGACTCTCCCTCCGACTCGCTTTTCCGTTAACCTCGAATTTGTGCTTTAGTGGGAGACGAGTCTCGACCCTCGCAGTGGTTGGGGGTAATTTTGTGCGGGTAAGAGCTGGCAGGGACCCTGCAATACTTCAGCACAGTTGCGTGTCAGAGCTCCCATGTGCTGTCAGCCTGTCCCATAGTTTTTGAGGCGACCTCCCTCAAGGGACACGCTCATGCGCTGCCCGGAGAGCAGATGCTGGCCCACTCACCCCTGGCCTTTCTGGCGATGGGGGCTCGGGTTTGCTCAGATAAGAGCACAGGAGGTCAGGGGTAGTTTTTTACCATGTTACACCCATGCCGGCCCAATGTAACATTTGTTGTAGGAGGTTTATTCGGATTAGGAGTGACCTCGGGGATCCTAGAAAGTTTTAACTCGGCTCCGATCTCTGCTGTGTCCCTGGCCCCAGCCCCAGCCGGGCAGCTCTCCCGGAGCGGGGCCGCGCTCCCCGCACACTCCGGCGGCAGCACCTCGGCAGCCCTTCCCGGGGTCCCCAGCACCTGCCTGGCTCCCTGTGGACCGGGCAGCCGTACCCAG